GACGTCTCAGCTCATCAATCACCCTCTTTGGTGGACAGGTCCCTCTTGGCTGAACACTCCTCCACCTCAATGGCCTCAGTCTTCATTTTCAGTTTTACCCACAGACTCGCTACCGGAAATAAAACCTCCTGCGATAGACGCTTTGGTCACTACCAGCACACCAACATGTGAAATTTTGACGAGATACTCATCTTGGACGAAGCTAATTCATATTGTTGCACTTATACTAAGATTTTTTCATCGCTGTAAGGATAAAATGAGTTCGAAGATTTGCTCAAATCAACAGTCAAAGTCACAAAACTTAGGTGATACATCAACCAATATACCTACTACTCTAAAGGAACTTCAAGCAGCTACTACTCGTGTAATTCTGCTAACACAGCAAGAATCATTTGCTTCTGATATTATTAACCTGCAAAACAAGAAACCTCCTTCTAATCATTTGCAGAAACTTGCCCCATTTTTGGATGAAGCTGGACATATACGCCTTGGTGGTCGACTGAAAAATGCTGCAATAAACTTCAATGCAAAACATCCTATCTTGTTGCCTAAAAGCCATTTTGTGACTAGACTTATAATAGATTATTATCATATATTATATTTACATTGTGGTGCACAACAATTACAGTCACTTATAAGTCAAACATATTGGATTCTGTCAGCTCGAAGTGCTATTAAGGCCAGAGTATTTCGTTGTATAAGTTGTTACAGGACCAAACCTAAGCTAACCCCGCCATTCATGGGTGACTTACCAAGTAGTCGAGTTGCTTCCACAAGACCCTTCTCTTCTTCAGCTGTCGATTACGCTGGACCTATTGCCGTAAAGCTACATAACCTCAGAAGACTTCAGAATATTAAAGTGTACATCTGTCTTTTTATCTGTATGTCTACAAAGGCTGTCCACTTGGAAATGGTCACAGATTTGACCTCCGATGCCTTTATTGCTGCTTTGAAAAGGTTCATCTCTCGCCGTGGTATGGTCTCCAACATATATTCTGACAATGGCAAGAACTTTGTTGGTGCTTCTCGTCAACTACAAGAAAGTTTTCAGCAGATAGCCTTGCAATCACCTACACAACGATTTTTGGAAGATCAGCACATCACTTTTCACTTCATACCTCCTCATGCTCCCCATTTTGGCGGCATCTGGGAACGAGCAGTTCAAAGTGTGAAGAATCATCTGCGACGTGTCATTGGCGACACTTTATTGACCTATGAAGAGTTTAACACACTGCTTTGTCAAGTGGAAGCTATTCTCAACAGCAGACCTCTCACTCCACTGTCTTCGGAACCTGGAGAGTTAGAAGCCCTCACCCCTGGTCACTTTCTTAGTGGTGGACCTCTCGTCTGTTTACCTGAAGCTGATATCTCCGAAATACCTTCCAACCGTTTGAAGAGATGGCAGCAGGTCAAGTCATTTACACAACGCATATGGAAACGCTGGCATAAGGAATACCTGTTTACATTACAGCAGCGCTCAAAGTGGGTCAAGTTTCAGAAGAATTTGGAAGTCAATGATCTTGTTCTAATTCACGAAGACAACTTACCCCCTCTACAATGGAGACTCGGACGCATCATCAAGGTCTTCCCTGGAAATGACAACATTGTTCGAGTTGCCGAAGTGGTTACAAAATCAGGACGCTTCACTCGCCCTGTTACAAAGCTCTCTCCACTTCCCATGGATTAAGCAATCATTAGTATCATTAGGCTAGTTTAAGTTTTCCCACACAGTGTCATTGCATTTTGTTTTTATTTTTTGAAGTCATTGATTTGAATTTTACAGATGAGTATGATTTATTTTGTTACCAAGTTTGTTGAACCTAGGGGTTCAAGGGGGCCGAGATGTCATGTAATTACTACTTTATTATATATTTTATTTAACATGACAAAAGATATTGTCAAAATAACTAATTTATTATTAGTAAGCAAGAAAGAATATTTAATTTAATTTCTTATAATACCAAGTTGGTATAGTCAGGATAATTTCATTTTTTAAGTTGTCAGTCCTGTAAATGCAAGCAGTCCAAAAATCATTCAGTACAGTTCAATCTCTCTCTCACTTTAACTGTGCTACTACAACCATGTTGATGCCAGTAAGCATCAGATCAATTCATAGTGAAAATTAATATCAAGTGCAGTGCAAGATACATATAAAATAGCATAGCAAGATATATTTAACTAAATTGCCAGTATGCAATATGAAGAGGACCACAAAAAGGGGCCCCTGGACAATGAATTTTTAAATGGAAAATACATGAAGAGGAGTAGGCCTAGTGAAAACCAATGCAACATCAAGGTAACAAACATCAGTTAATATTTATACAGTCCACTTATAAACTCTTTCTTTTTGTATATGGTTATTACAGCCAAATCATAACACTATTAAAACTATAAAAACTTATCTATATCTAAAAATATATAAAAAAAATAAAAAAATTAAAATAATAATAAAATTAATAAAAATATATAAAAAATATATAAAGTATATAAATTTATCTATATTTATCTATATATCTAAATTTATCTATATCGGAAAATTCCTGACATTCAATAATAGGTTTGTCCTGATAATTATTCTTATCCATAGATAATGCTAGCGTATCGTTCGGCATGTCTGGTTTGGATGTAGGAAGATTGGGGTACTGGTATGATGCGTTTTCTATGTGTCTTAGCCGTTGGACGACATCGAGACATGGGTAATTTTGATGCTCTTATGGATTTGATTATAGCTTGACAGAAACTGTAACAGAGATCTACAAAACTACAAAAGAATAGCCAAAGCTGAGATAGAAGATTTGGTATGTAAATGTATTGCTTTAAAAAAGTTAAAGTAAAGTAAAGTTGTGTATCTTTTAGAGCAGTTTTAGAAATATTATTGCTTTAAAGATATAGTGGAGAACAACTTATCAATGCCAAAACTGGTAGCTCAGAACCTATGAGTAATAGCTTTAAATTCACGTAAATATATAGATTAGTGATGTGGCAAAGTTCACTCCAGTCAGGTTTTTGTCAATTCGAATCACACCCAAACTGACACGAGTAAATCCAAGGGTACTCCGATGTGCACTAATTTTACACCATCTAGGCCTACTCGAATTATTCAGGTTAAATCGATCAGGTCAGTGAGTATACATTTTAAAAACTGGGTTATGATTCATTGACTATTTTTATCATAGTTTGAGTTCACTTGTCAGTTGTCAAACTCGTGAGTGGAATGTTTGAACTCATTGAATTGACACTTCTCTTAACACTACTCTTAAAGAACTCATAATACTGGGGTGAAAATAAATAGTCGCATTGAACTGTAACTGACTACTGCCAGTTGACATTAACCCTCCGAGTGTCATTTATCGCTGCAGCGACACATAGCACACTTTGTGTAGTGTTTTGTGTCGCTGCAGCGACTCACAAACACTGTTTACGGTGAAGGCTCTATGACTGATGAAATCGGATTGAACTGGATCGAGTTAGGTATCGTTTTATTTTACAGATTCAGAGCTTTCTCCGGAGGTCTGTCTCTAAGCAATATTCATTTTAGTTCCGAAAATATTGTAGCAGACAGCTGACGTGCGTATTTGTAAACAGCTTGCTTAACCTCGGACTGATGACTGATGTGTTTTATTGTGTTTATCATTGTTTTAGTGTTAAAAATAAAAAGTAGTGATATACGTGGTGCATTCTAAGAAGATTTAAGTGATTTTGAAAGGTTGGTTGATGATCCTGAAGAAGTAGGTAGTGATAATGATGTAAATTATCAGCCAGATTCCTAGCTATGGTTAGGCTATGCATTCTTAGCTAAACGCTATGTACTGAAATCTGTTTTTTGCCCATAACTTATTTATTTGCAAATCTACTTCCTTATATTATTATATATTTGTAATCCTCATAAGATTTCGAACAAAGTGGCTATTTTCAAATATTTATAGGCCTATAATTTATACAATTTCATTGAGCGCGAACTTTTTTTTTTAAAATTTTCCAAAATATTTTTTTTACCTAAACAAAATTTTTGAAACAAATGTTCCTTATGTTTTATGTATAATATTGAAGCCCGTGATTTTCCAAACAAAATGGTATATAGAACAGTATAATTAACATTGTTTTCAAACTTCTCAGATCCGTTTTAATAAAACCTTGCAAATGAGCAAAAAATAGGCAGACATTAAGGCCAAAACAAGGGACACTCGGAGGGTTAATAGAGTAAGGAATAAGTTAAATGGTGAAGCCAGTGTAGGTGGCCGAAGTAAAGGATCATACCACTACTAGACAGGTGGGGGATAGGACGCTATCGGTGATTGGTTTAATGCTCAACCAACGGTATTAATTTATTCAACTTAATTAGCCGTTACATTTCTGTTGTCAATACAAATATAAAATGTTACAGATCAATATTCATATATTATAGTGGGGAGATGCACAGCTGACACGAAATCAGCCAACTCGACTCAACTAGCAAAACTAACACGTCATAGGCCAAAAGTGAGTCAGACTCGCGAAACTAACAACCCATTGGCGGAATGCGAGTAGCGCACCATCTTTGAATTTTGAAATTGCTTAAGTATTTTTTGTTGGGGTAAACAACTCACGCAAGGGTAGAAATAATAAACGATAGTAAGTGCAGTAAAACTCCAATCATCCGAATCAGTTGGGACTGGACCTGATTCGTATACCGGTAATCAAACATTTGGATAATTGGATTTTTACCTATATTCCGGATATTTTGAAGATAAAGGCTGAGTCATGCCGAGCTTTTGTCGCCATCGGAAAAGTCTGTCGGGATCGGATGAGTCTACTCTACAACGAGTCAACTCGGAGAAACCACCTGTGTTCGGTACGAGACGAGTCAGGCTCTAGTTAAGGGCACGAGTAGAGTCAAGTCAAGCGAGTCAGGAAAGTACTCGATTCGTCACATCATGTAAAAGTAAAGACAATGACAAAAGAACAATTTGAAATTCAAACTAGCTATTTGGACATTCAATCAAAACTATCAATATACGCACCATCCTCTAGATTGGGTTGTGTTAGTACTATGTCAGCCACCATGTGTCCTATATGCTGCCTATTGGAAAGGGCGTGGTTCAAGCAATCAATCATCCGCTTGGCGGATTTGCAAGTGATGTACTTGAAATGATTCTGGAAAATAACATGTTTTTAAATTATATCTTACTTTCTACCCCAGTACATAGTAGATGTATGGAGTAAGTATTGTTTTTGTCAACATTTCCGTGTTTGAGATCTGGGTGGAAATATCCATTTTAAGACCCCTTGAATCAGTAAAAGTGTTGTCTGTCTGTGTGTATGTGTGTGTGTACAGATGAAACTTGGTATGTGGGTACTAATCTAAGGTATCTCCAAACTTTTTTCCATTCTTAAAAAATTTTAATTTTTAGTGGTTATTTTCTATAAAATAACAGAAAAATGTAATTTTCACAAAAATAAATCCAACAAATTTTTTTAAAATTTAGCACGTTAAGGTATATGTTAATCTAAAACTAAATTATACAACCCCCAATGCTGTAACAGTTACAATAATAATTAATAACTACAATAATAATCAATAATTAAGTATTATTGATTTTTGAAATTTTTTTACAAAAAAAAACCCTTAGTTACCAGTGTAATTTATAGGCCTATTGTTTTGCTTTTTTTACTTATTTTTACACTTTAACCAGTGTAATTGTTCTAAATTTTTTGCTAATAAGTAGGATGTGTATTTTTTAACGTCAAGCAAATGAGAGGAAATTTTTGTCAGTTTGCTGATACTGTTTATATTTAGTAAAAACATTCTTTATAACATATAGCTTTTAAAAATTACTAAGTCTCCAAACCCAGAATATTTATTTAATACACATCAAACAGATGCTATTTCTATTCATAATGTGCCTCCCGCATTGATTAAATAACATAAAGGTTGCTGACCTGTCGTCAATCAATCCTATTGTTTCTAGTGAATAACTAGTTTTGGGGTTTCAACCCCATTATCAAATCATTTTTCTCAATGTCAAACATAACTTACTCAGCACTAGCCGTTGTCAAATTTAAAAATATTTTACACAAAACAAAGAAACACACACAATGAAAAATTTACTTTACAATATTTACAACACACAAGGCCATCCAAGGACAAAATCAGACTACGGGGTTTGATACGAGCGAAGGTTAGCCAATCAATGACAAGTGCTGAGTATTTTATGTAGGTTTTGGCCTCTGGTGACATCAAAATGAAAAAGTAAATCCTGGGTCTAGGTCTTGCCGTGCAACCTATGGTAATAGCTTCTTCCCAAAGGGAAATTCGCTAAAGTTTGCATTATTTAACACATCTACATTTTACTAGTCACCTTTAATCTAAACTTCTGACTTTTAAAAGTATTAGGAATATTGAAAATAAATTAAATTTATTAATAATTCAGAGAATTCTCTGACTAAATGTTTGTTTACCATTCTTTCTGTCTTGATTTTCAAGTCAAAAAGTGGAACTGTTTTACAGTCAATAAGGTCTTTTAGTTCACCAGTTGGGCTGATTTCAAAGAAGGCAACATTCAGGACCATGGCTGGGTCATCCCCTGCCAAGTACATAGGCTGTAAGACAAAACACATTTATACATGTTAAAGGAACGGTTGATTGGACATAAATTTAATAGGCCTACATGTGACATATGTTCAATCATAAAAGTCAAAAATAATTAATTCACTCCCTTTTTTTTAATCCATACTAGAATAATTTCTCTTCATTACATGATAAATGTATACCAGTCAAAGAGTGGGGATAGACTCGGATTCACAAGAGAAAATTGAAAGATATATTTTCACCAGGTTAATTGTAAAATATTATTATGTTTAAGAATTATTTATCAAGTGAGGTTTTATACGTGAAAGTGAAGTTTTTATTTTGAAGAGTGTCAAATGAAAATGAAATTGAAGGACGGTTTCAGGTTTTACAAGTGTAACCTTTTGAGGGTTTTGTGTGTCGGAGTGAACTCTATCCCCAACTCAAATAAGCCAGCTAGATCCTAAAATCTTTAGAACTTGTAAATAGTAATTAAAAGTGTGCTAGACAAACATAGTATTTATAATTCTACAATAATAGATATCTTTGTTTGAAATTAATCATACACAGTAAAGTTCCTTTTAACACACCCTTTAAACTGAAACCTAGGTACAAAAACAATTATGAATTATTAATTGTAAATGCAAATCAATTGGAAAATTAGGTAGAGAATACTCCTATAAGGATGCGGATCTCATACCATGACAAGGAAAAAGTAGGTACAGAAAATTTTCCATTATTTTAGAAATGAAATTGTGGGTGTATACAGTTGTAGATTTTAACATTATAATCAAATTAATGTCGAAAACTAATTTTGTAGATCTATTTGGATTAGAATAACCTTTTAATTCCAATGTTTGACCAACTGAAAATATATTAAATCCTAAATGGCCTAGCCTTCATCGGGATTTTACTGTACTAGTACTTTATAACGTGAATTATAGACAAATGAAAACTTACCTGAACCTGCGAGAATGTGTGCGTGGCAAATCTTTGAAAGATGCCAAAACTGATAGAGCTGTCGGTTAGTTGGCTTCCGGGGCCAAACAGGGTGTAGGTCTTGCCTGATCCCGGGGGGCCGACAGCGACGTAAGACACGTCATTCATTCCTTGATTGAATATCAAAACAAATGTCAAAACAATGTTCATGCAAAGATATGCTATTATAAATGAGTGATTTTATCATTAAATGTAAATAGTGAAAATATACATGTAAAAAGTTGATGCATGTTTCGTCCATGTGATGTTTGAGTGCATTGGCGTGGACTCGATGTTTCTCTCTTATTTAAGGGTAGATTTTACAATTCCTGATGCATTATTTTTTTTTAGTTTACATATGGGCAGCTGTATTTATTTAGTTGAATTAGGTTTAAAAATTAATGAAATGACATGAATCTAATAGTAAACAAAATATGCTTTTTTCTTAAATATGCTTTTTTCTTAAATCGGACAAAGCTAACCTTGTCGTTAGGGGTCTCAATCCTGGGATCCCGAATCCCGGGATCTCGGCCGATTTTTGATACCTAGAAATCCCGGGACTGGTGTCTTTTAATCCCGGGATTAACAGGATTGCAAAACCTATGTTTATTTTGATTTTTTTTGTTAATTTTATGGCTTTTACTTACGGAAAATTAATAAAAATAGTCCAATAACACTTGAAACACATATATACTCTTAATTTTTAGGACTAGCCTATAATATAAAATGGTATAAGTAATGATCTTTTTTAGTGGAAAATTTAATTATCATTAAACTCAAATAGGCGAACGAATGTAGGCCTAAATATATGTTTCAGTTTTTAGACAATTTGGATTTACTATCTGTAATTGTTATTACATTATTTAGAACTTAATTACAGTAGGCCTATAAGTTATTTTGAGTTTTACTTTTGACATGAAACGTAAACAACGCAATTCAAGTAGCAAATATAACATTGCAAGGAAATTTAAGTATTTTTTTCATGGAAGCCACAAAATATAACTATAAACACACGATTATAATCTCATTATTAAGATTGCTTATATTTAGGGTCTATAACTTTTATCTCCGTATTTGATTATTAGTGTGGTGATTAAATTTCTTACAATCCAAAATTAAGTTTTTCATACTTATGCTACTACATAAGCATAAGGTTTATTGTTTTACAGTATCATATATTGTTTTATTGCTGTTAAGTAAAAATAACATTTTACGCTGCTACTCATGATTCTTCCCATTTTATCTTTTTCTCTTAGCTATCTTTAACCTATCGTGAGCGTGACGTATAGCTTACGTGCAAGTGCGGTTGCTCGTGATTTTTTAAATGTATTTATTATATTCTAGATACACTGTAAATAAGAAATAAGGGCGATGAAAGTTCCGCGTGGTAATATTTATTTACTTAGAAAATGGAAACATTGCACAGTGTAACACTGGCCAAAGTTTGAAACATTAAAGTACTCGATAAGGGGACTTCTCGCTCATTTAAAATGGCTAAAAAGTTAAAAATCATAATATTTTATAATCTCAGGATTGATCCCGGGATCGGCTGAGACGAATCCCGAAATCCCGGGATTGGATTGAAGGCCCGGGATTGAGACCCCTACTTGTCGTGCTAATCTAGTCTAAGGATATAGCCTATCTAAACGGGAGTACCGTATTTTAGGGAGTATTCTAAGGCTGAAGTTTTAATTTTAATTAAAGAAAGATTTAGTTTAGTAGGGTTACCACCAAGCATAAAAATTACACTCCTTATTAACGTAAAAATGCTCACCCGACCTAGTGTTTGCACAACCTGCTACAACGGGTTCAATTCTGCCCGCGGCAGTTTAGTACCAGATAGAATCCCGTCAATGTATTTTAAAAACCTCGACACCCTCAATATAAATTATAGACACAATCCTAAATGATAATATATTTATCTGTATATAAATCTTTATCACCAACCCACGAGAGCCCTAGCATACGTTAACAGGGACTTAAACAGGTTCTAACACCGATCAAAGGCCCTAACGTGAGTTTTATGATTAAAATATTAAAGTGAGGGTTAATCACTAACTGAATACTCTGAAAACGATAGTAACATTCCAAGTGCCTTTACTCAAACCCACTCTACACTCAATCACTTTGGCAAAATCACATGACAAAATTACTGGTAATTAGCAAAGCAAGTCTTAACTCAGTTAAACACGGGAATGAACATGGGGAATGAATGTCCCCACGAGGGATCTCCTTCCCTCCCCCCTCTCTAATCCCCTAAACAGCTGATCCATTCCCAGCTGACTGATGATGTCACGAGTTCAAAAACCCTGGCTGTTGCTGCCACGATTCACAAGCCCAGGGCAGCCGGCTAGTGGTAGAGGTTATGTTGTTATTTACCTGCACTGACTGTTAAATTATCAGGCGGAACTTATATTATCGTTCCCGATATATTCCAAGGCGTACAATTTCCACCCGTGATGTGTAATTCAGTGTTAGACAAAGTGTATGCATGTTATGTACATGATATTATATTCGTGATCGCGATTCACCGCCCTAGCTTGCACAACACCTCTTTGGCCATACTTCCCAAAGGTTTATATTAGGTATGGGCGTACACAAAAACAGTTTATCACCTATTTTGTACACAACAATGCTATTCCATGACTTGTATACTTCAAAAACAGTGTTGTTAGTGATTTTGCCAAAAGTGAGGTTATCCCAACTTCAGCACTAGGATGGGCATTAGGTAGCCTACAGCTATTTTCCTTGCCAAGATAGGTTTACCACTATCACCTAGCAGATAAGGAATAGGCCTACTGATTAATAAATAACGATAAATATATAATCTTAATCCCTCTATAATTTTGACCCATTACAAGTGATTAAATTGTTTGTAGTAAAACATTGTTCGTAAATTATAAAATGTGTCTTTTTATGATATTGTTTTAACTATTAAACCCAACCCAATTAACCACAACCGAGCAAGGCTTGGTCCCCCAGTACCTATTCATTATTCATTATAATATCAAGATTGTTCATTAGTTAATTCAATCTATGTATACATATGTATCCTGTTTTTTTCTAAATGTTATTCATATCAAACAAAAACACCTTAATGTAAGAAATATTGTGATACTGTACCCATGTTTGTCTAATGTCACATTTTCATAATCTCTTACGTACCTATATTTTTACGGAAAGTAAATAAAGATACGTCTTATAACACTTAAAACATATATTTACGCTTATACTGTTATTCACAAGACGGTAAATATACAAAAGATGGTAAGTGGCTATATTTTTATGCCTATATTTTGATTCAATTCCATTTGAATAATTTAAATACCATAATTGTAACAATGATTAAAATTCAAAGCGATGTAATTTATTTTTAATAGAACTAACTTAATCTTTATCAGGCTAGCCAATGCCTATATAACAACTGTAATTGTGGCTGATGTTTTTTTCTCTTCATATACCTATTGTCTACTGTACAATGTTTTCTTCTTTTCACAACCTCACACGACACCCATGAACTGTGGCCAGTCAACAAAGCCGCTACGGTAAGAATTAAAAACAAAACCAATTAAGCGCTCAACTATGTAAAGGATATCTTACCTTTTAAAAAATTATTACTAAGTGACTTCGCTCCATATTCAAACACTGATTCTTGGCTGTGTGCCGGTCCAAATATCTGGTCAGCATTGCATGGAACGTGAACTTGGCCCACACGCAAGTAACAGTACGGGGGCGCCAAATCCGTAAAATATTCTTCATTAGTAGCAGCCAGGCGAATCTAAGAAATATTTTGTTAATATATTTTAAAACTCAAATAGACCTAAGTACAAAAAGTATCTTAGTAGTACAGAAGAGGCTACATTTAAAAACTTGTAATCATCCCATCAATGTATGATTTTCAACTGCATTTGACTCTCAATAACCCGACACAACCAGGGATTGTTGGATAACCAAAAATGTTAGTTTCAAAAATAATAATAAGTTGGTACTTTGGTATATTCTGGAATCCGGAGGCCACTTATTTTAGAGGGATGTTTTTACCGGAGACCAAAAATAACTACATAATTGAAAAGAACATACTTTAATTGACTTACTGACCAAACTTGACAAGATTACGATTAGCGGCCTTTAAGTTTAAGTTCTGCCTCCCATAAGGCAGCTATGTAGTTGAAGATTGAGTTGGATGCGTCGCCGCCGCTAGCTGCCACATGTACTCCACCAAATAGGTGTACAGGGCGCTGCGGCGGTTATGTTAGGTTGGGTTATCATAAATATGTTTGTAAGACTTTGTTCGTTTTGTTATGAATCTAACAAAACCAGATGAGTCATCACTCAGGACACTGACCCAGATTCAGGCGCAGTGACAGGTGATGCGCGTGCTCCGGTCAACGACCTGACCTTGGCTACTTGGAGGGGAATTGGCGGGGGAAAGTATGACTCATCTGGTATTGTTCGATTCATAATGAAACAAGGAAAGTCCTATAAACATATTTATGATAACCCAACCTAACATGACCACCGCAGCACGCTGTATAAGGTTGGCCTCCGGATAATACCAAAGTAGGTACCAATAAGTTTAAATAATAATCTAGGGTTTTAAGTCAGACAACTTATGAAGCTTTATTATGTATAACTGATACCTCTACCATTTCAGTTCAAATCTATCAGTTTAGGCATTACAAAAAAAAAGTTAATTGAATTAAAAACCTATTTGTATTTAGCTTATTAACTCTGGAGTACGATGCTATTTCGTATGTTGTTGGCCTGAATATAGTTCAGTATAATCTGTATTCTAAATTCAATTCTTTTATTTCCAAGGTAACACCATTTTAGAAAAATTAAAACCATGTAAAACTAGATAACATAGTTTGAGCTAAAAAGGTTAAAAAAAAGGTCAGATACTTGATTATCCAATTAATGAATAATCTAACAGAGCAGCCGTAGTATTCCAGTAGGCTAAAAACCTACTGTGGCTGTTTTAAGACTATACCTATCCTCTTAGCCTCAAAAGGAAAGCAATGTTCTTATCCCTACCAATCACTACTGTTCAATGTAAACACTGCAGAATCTATACTTATTTAATACGCAAGCAGGTTTTTTGTGATAATTACTCCTCCGAAACTACTGAACCGATTGTCATGTTTTTGGTGTCATTGGAAAGAACGTAACGTGTAGTTGTGCAGGAAATCTTCTTTTTAGGCAAATAATTAGAGTGAGGCCCTGGGGCCCTTTTAATTTTCGTATTTCTCCATAAGATTAACATGGGAAACAAAAATGGTTATGAAACTCCAACTGTTGTCAGAAATTAAAAGTGAGACGAAGAACATATGTTAATTGTAAACAGTCAACAAGATTGCTAATTTAACAGTTTGCTACAAACATTTACTGACTTGGTTTAAATGAAATAGTTTATTTTTTTCATTTGGGTTGGCGTAAATATTACAATGGAAAAAAGCGAGAGAGCCTGGATATATTGATATACTAAAAAGAAAACTGAATTAACACTGTGCTGCATTTTGTAGTAATCATTGAAAGAGCCGATTTGCAAACTATGGAAACATAGAAAAGTCATAGAACACCACCAAGGAAAATAAATCAATTTTTTTTTTATTTATTTATAATCGTTATTATGGACAACCTATTGTGGCTATGAATAAGGTGTAACGTGCCGTTCTTCCCGCTCGGAATATATGCGCTATTCCGTAGTTAAAGCGGGAAAGACGTCACCAACTCTCGCCAGCGGATCGCTCAAGTCGGCGTGCTGGGAAGTTTCCAGGGTTCAGATAAAAAAGAATTTATTTAATTCAATAACCTAGCACAGGTACAGATTTGTATAGACGCAAAAATGTAGTGTGAATCAGGTGTGAACTCAGTACCGGTAACCAACAACGCTACTGTACCATCATCATCGTTCACACCTGGAAATAGCTGATTGAATTAAATTTAAAAATAATGAAAACCCGTTCAACGAAATTTTGAAACAATTTAATGTTGCAGTTTCGTCAACCTCAACACTTAGAATATTACTTCTGAATATACTTAGCGTGCTCCACCCGACCTCGTGTTTGCACGACCTGCAGAGACGGGTTCAACTTTGCCTGCTTTGCCGCAGCAGTTCAACACCTACTGAATATCACGGCAAAATATTTGCTAAAACCCCGTCACCCTCAATATATATTGTAAACAAAATATTAAACGAAATTTGTATCCCTAAAACTCTCTATTGCCACCCACGGGAGCCCTAGCATACGCTAAAGCGGACTTATACAAGTTCTAACACCCGTCAAAGATCCTACCGTGAGTTTTATGTATAAAAGAATAAAATGAGGGTTTATGGCCAAATAATAAAAAATAATGGTACACACTATTAAGATAAAGCCGGCGAATTACCTGTATACTCCAGGGATCTTCACTAAGACACACTAAAGCACACGTTAGCAAAATCACTAATCGTTTCAAAGTCTTAATCACTAAGACACGTCCTAAACACTGTAAATCGCAGAATTAGAATGTCGTCGCATCCCTAGCCCACAAGGGATCTTCACTACTTCCCCCTCCCTAATCCTCTAGGGATGGGGAAACAGCTGATTCAATTACCAGCTGATCGGTGACGTCACGAGTTCAAACTTGGCGCTGTCACAACACAACGCCAAGACAGCCGACTAGTAGTACAGGTTATGTTGTTAATGTTGTTATTCACCTGCGCCGACTGTGAAATTATACGGCAGAACTTTAATATCGTCTCTGGTTTAAACAAAAAGTATAATTTCCACCCGTGACGTGTAGCTTAGTGTGCGACAAAGTGTATGCATGTTATGTAGTGATATTGTATTTGTGATCGCGGTTCTCCACCCTAGCCTAACCAACAACTTTGACCGTACTTCCCAAAGGTGTATATTAGGCATGGGGGTTACACGGAAACGGTTTATCACTCATTTTGTACACAACGATGCAATACTGTGGATTGTGAATCACAAAAATAGTGTCTTTAGTGATTTTGCCAAAAGTGAGGTTATCCCTACTTCAACCCTAGGATAGGCCTAGAACAGCCTATTTACCTTACCATGATAGGTTTACCACTATCACCAACCAGGTAAGGAATAGGCCTACTGATAATTAAATAATAAATATAAAAACTTAACCCCTCTATAATTTTGACCCATTACAAAGGCTATCTGTAGAAAACACTAAAAAACAAGATCAGCTTTGGAAAAATGATAAGATATTTACAAGAAATGTTGATTATATCGATCTGTTATGTACATCTTGAGTATTTCCATAATCTTTGAGTCGAATCTTTTAAAGTCATCAGAAATTATGGATGTTGTTCGTTTTAAAATAACGCCTGAAATACTTAGCAATTGCTCGAATTCAAGCAACAGGGACACTAGTTAGATTAAAAACTACTACTGTATTCCAGCACGTAACTTAATGTATGCCAGTGAAAGGTTTAAAAAGAAAGGAACAGGCAAAAGCACTTAACAGGTCTTCAATGTTGCCAAAAGCAGGGAAAAAGACCGGGATACGTAAATGAAAAATTATACTTACCCGAATGAACGATGTACTGTATTATAGGCCTACAGTCTAACCTTGATATAACGATTTTTGTTTAATCCCTGTTGTTTAATTTTTAGTAATTTTTGAGATTGGACTGTAATTATATGGAACAACACACAAGGTGCACTAAAACATCCCAGGACAAATGTTAACTGTACACTTAGCAGTGTAATTTGGAATGGTAGTGCTGCAGTCGCTCAAATAACTCAACAGCAAGTCATGTTACGTGAATATTAACTTATTGTTTAACTTTTGTTAACAAAATATTAAAATACCCCCGCCACAGCAAACCTGTAGACTAAGCAAATTTCCATTTACCTAAATATATTTTCACTAAAAATATTCCCTTAAAAATGTCAGATTTATTCCCTCATTAAATAACATTAGTTTAACCCGTACATAGGTTTGCTGCTACAGAGAATGTATAGTGCTTTTTTTGTGAAATGTTGGCAGTTCAGTATGAAATAAATAAATTTCCTAAATTTGATCAAAATTTGTTCATAAACAAGCAAACTACAACCGTTTGACTTGGTCTACTTGTTTTCCGTAAAAAATAACATAGGAATTTAAGTTTACAGTTTTTTTTTTTATTTTATCCTTTAAAAAAAATACTGGTTTGAATAAAGGTAGGTTTACACTCTTGCACCAAATTTAACAAAATCGGATAGTTTTTGCTCAAGTTAGGCCTCGAGTACGATACGAGCGGCGAGCGGTAACCTGAGCTGCACGTAAGCAGCGGTGGTGGCTACGATACAAGCGGCACAATTATAATGCTCATCAAATTTCCCCATTTTTATGAGTCGGTTTAGTCGAAAATGGTAAACAATGCTTACCTGCAAGACGTATTGCAACTATTGTTGCTATCTGACAATTGTTTGCCTTTAAAGAAAAACTTAGTTTTTAGAAAAACCTTAACCCTAACATGGTTCCATACTTTTCTGGTGACTGAAGTGTTTTAAAACTTCCGTCCTGGTCATTCCACAAACATTCCCTGGACTGCACCTCACGTATCGACCCGTATCGCATGTTTTCTGCTGTTTCCCTGTCATTTTAGGCCGAACCTAACCATCACCATCAGGTGGGTCATTTTTGGCATGACTCACCTGAGCACCTGAGCGGCGTTTTTGCAAAAATCGGTTTTGACTTGGAACCATGAGCGGCGCTGAGCGGTGCCGCTCGTCGCTCAGACGTATCGTGGCCACTCTCAACAAATTTACACGTGGAAATAAATGAGACCCGATGTCAGAGCGGCGGCGCTCATGCCGCTCGTATCGTTACCGGGGCCTTATCATGCTAACGGACACACACACAAACACACAAAAAATATATAGAGTTGAACACATCATTAAACACTAGTACAGTATTGTATATGAATTTAAATATGTGGTGCTTTGGCCTCTGGGAACCTCAGAAGGAAATTAGCAAATCGGTCCCAGGTCCAAGTCTTACCATGAGACCTACGGTAATAGCTTATTCCATACATGAGATATTCCCTAAAACTAGACTAAGTGGAAAATTAATAAAAAATACTCACTCGTATGGCTGTGGAAATCATCTTAGGCTTATTCTTTGAAGCAAAAAGAGTATAATACCTGGAATAAATCATGGTTATTATCAACAAATAGAATGCACTCTAAACAGTAGGCCTACTCTAGCGCTGCAATTGATCTTGCATTTGGTCATGATGAAGAATGGTTAGAAATTTCGGAAGCTCTCTACACTGTACGGTTTTTTTAAGACGTTTACCAATACTAATCCAAAATAAATATTATAAATATTGCAATAAAGACCAAACAAAACTCCTTTGTAGGGTTACTCGTCCTATAACATAGACAATTAAGTAGTAGGCCTACCTAAAACAAGTAATTAAGTAGTGTACCGGTAATAAAACCTGAAACCACACGAGTATATGAAGTGCACTAATTATTTGTTCTATATACCATTTTGTTTGGAAAATCATGGGCTTCAATATTATATATAAAACATAAGGAACATTTTAAAAAAAAAAATTTTTAGGTAAAAAAAATATAATTTCGAAAATTTAAAAAAAAAAAAATAAGTTTGCGCTCAATGAAATTGTATATAAATTATAGGCCTATAAATATTTGAAAATAGCCACTTTGTTCTAAATTTTATGAGGATTACAAATATATAATAATATAAGGAAGTAGATTTGCAAATAAATAAGTTATGGTCAAAAAACAGATTTCAGTACATAGCGTTTAGCTAAGAATGCATAGCCTAACCATAGCTAGGAATCTGGCTGATAATTTACATCAATATCACTACCTACTTCTTCAGGATCATCCACCAGCACTTCAAAACCACTTAAATCTTCTTATAATGCAACACGTATATCACTACTTTTGATTTTTAACACTAAAACAATGATAAACGTAATAAAACACATCAGTCATCGGTCCGAGGGTAACCTAGCTGTTTACAAATACACGCACGTTGCCAGCTGTCTGCTACAATTACGATCGGCTCAGAGAACGTACAGCGCTGAGACAGACCTCTGGAGAAAGCTTAGAATATTACGGAAAGAACGATACCTAACTCGATCCAGTTCAATCCGATTCAGTCAGTCATAGAGCCTTCGCCGTAAACGATGTCTGCATGTCGAAAAATCGACAAGTAACACTACACAAAGTGTGCTGCTTGTCGAATTTTCGTCAAGTAACACTGGGAGGGTTATACCTAAAAAATTTTGTTGAAACAAATGTTCCTTAGGCCTATGTTTTATGTATAATATTGAAGCCCATGATTTTCCAAACAAAATGGTATATAGAACAGTAGAATTAACATTGTTTCAAGCTTCTCAGATCGGTGTTAATAAAACCTTGCAAATGCGCCAAAAATAGGCGGACATTAAGGCCTAAACTATGGACACTCGGAGGGTTAATAGGTAGGCCTCATCGATATTTTAAAATATATCTATTATAAAATCAAACTATCAAAACCTAACCTAACCAACCAAACTTGCTGGATGGTGAAAAAAATCACATGAAGGTTTACTAATCGAATCGATAGTTTCAATCAATATTAGGCCTAGCGTAGCTCAGTTAAGAAACTGTGCCCGAGGTTCGAGTTATAAGTCGTAAGTGATTGAGAGGCTCGGCATATCAATGAAATTAAATGAAATATTCAATATAGTAACTACACAGCCCAACATTCTTTGACCCTAGGCAAGGCCTTGATGAACAAACAAAATTAACCAAGACAACAAGTTTTAAGACTAAAACCATTGATCTTTCATAGTTTTACTTAGAGAATAGGCCTAAGATTGATTAAAACAAGACATCTATATCACATAAATAACACGTGCTATACGAAGTACTTGAAACTAGGCTAGGCCTATGATATTGTCAGCCTAGTTCTCCCATTTAGTTGAACTTGATATAAATAACCGCTGATTGACTACTTACAAGAGGTTGGAGACGATGTTTCAAGTTTTTACTTTTAACTCATTCTCTAACAGTTTAAACTGGAGAATACCAAGATTTAGTTTAGTTCAGTAAGGACTTCCTAAGGCTAAGAAGGAGAAAGATGTCTATCATGATAAATGATGGATGCCCATGGACCGCCGACCGAGGGGCGAGGATGCGAGGAAGAGGAAGATTTGAAGATTAGATTGAATTGAAGCTTTATTTTATATTCCTCAATTCCTCCCTCCATCCAGTCAGTCCAGTCCAGTATGCCAGCCCAGTAATCCAGTCCAATGTATCGAGCCCCAATCGAAGAGACTATTCGCACGTCTAAATGCTCCACAGCCCGTTCCCGTTCCAGTATTCTGTTAACAGTTCCAGTACCTATTACAAAATAATGCAACGGAAACTTTCAGAACAGAACGTTCAGTTTCAGTTACTTCTTACTTGGTTAGTTCAGAACAATCGATGGAGCCAGAAAGAAAGGTGTTAAAAGTAAAAAAAAAAAACACACATAAATGATAATTTTAAATATTATCAATTGACTTACAGATGCATATACAGTTGTACTAGAAAAGTACAAGCTCGGGATAGCGGCCAAATCAAAAATAAGATTTTACTTGTAAGCTTACACTGTAAAATTAAGCTTTAAGCCGATGACAGCCTGGTGATTTATTACTATTTTATCCTAATGCCTAGCCTACTTCTGGGCTATCTAAACCTACCAATATTAGGCCATTGATACCTTTGATAGGCCTAGCCTTTGATTTGTACAGGTAAAGTAGGCTATATTCCTATATTGAATCTTCTACTGCGTATTTCTAATAATAACATGTTATTATTGGCCAGCACCTATTTGATTGCTTGTAACCTTTTTGGCTCTGTTCACTTCAACTCTTTTACCTTTCTCTTTACGAAGTTGATCCCATTCATTTCGATTTCGGCTAATGAGGTACTACCGTTACCGTTCCTAATACTAGGATATCTTTGTGTGCAACCTGTTCCCAAACAGCTATAACAGTTACCTACTAGATTAGGAACGTAATGGGACGTCATTTGGAGCAGACGTGCGTGGTAGCGGCGCACGTCTGACGTGCGAATAGCCACTGCCAAATCCAATTTCCAATCCACCAACACGACCAAAACAATTCCTGCTTTCCATCCAGGTTGAGAAGGCCCCGTTCCCGCTTTATTTAGTGTGATGAAAAATCCCGGCTTCTCCGCTTGAATACTGTACAAAATCTCGATCCTTCCAGAGTGTTCTTTTTAGGTGTAATGTCAAAATGGCTCTTTAAACTTCGCGATAGTACTAGGCTATACTGCAACTATTCAACTGATTGGGGATTGTTTTTATCTTTAAGAAAAATGAAAAAAATATTATGTGGAAAGCTAAAAGGGACCTCTTGTCGGGAATTTTCGATTTTGAGTTTCATATATTTATCATTTGAATTCCCTATTAAATTCCGAATCGATTGGTACAAGTCCCATGCATCTATGATTTTTTTTTTTGTTATAGGACTTTGAAATGTTATAACGCATAAAAACGAGGCTTTTTATTTAAGAAACGATTTTGGTATCAAAAGAAAACTTATAATGTCGTCTTTGTATTCAATAGGTACCAATTTTTGTCTTAACTCACGGTAGTTTTCAATTGAATAATTGTTTTATTGAAGCATGTCGTAAAAATCTCATTTCTTTCAGAAAAGGGACCTCTTGTCGGCCCTATGTCATTTCTCCATAAGATAAGAAAATGTACCTCTAGTCGGGTCCGCAATATTTGTGAGATATTTTATTCTCCGTCTGAACTTTGTCGTAGTTCTCTAAATTTCCATTAGAATGCAGGACAATCCATTTTTGGACTAAACTTAAATCTGTTTAAAAAGTGAATATTAGAAATAATGGGACCTCTTGTCATAATGGCGAAATAACATTGAGCGACAAAACGTACCTTTACTTAGACCGTGCAGAGGCTCACAAAATGATCTATTTCGACCTTTCACATCTTCAATTCGATATTTTAACCGATAGTGTCATGTTTTTGTTAAATGAGGTACTGTATAACAATCGAAACCCAAAATTCGATATTTTCAACCTTAAGTAATTACTTATATCGGCCGTACCGGTACTGAAAATGTTGCATCTCTGAAAAGAGGTCCCTTTTCGCTTTCCACATCAAAAATAGAGGTTAGAGAAAAAAGCCACATCTCATTTCAATCCCGCCCTAAAACCCCGTTTTAGCTGTACGAACCACTGTGCGAACCAAAAAAATTACTTGAAATTCAGAGCTTAACAAAATTCAAATCAGAATTAAAAAATATCTAGTAGAGTTAAGTTTAGAGGACATAGACAGTTACCTAGACGGTGACAAAAATTAGTATTAAGTTGGTTATGGTTATTCTTTGTATTAACCCTGACCTGTCCAATTCCTTAAGGCAAAGGTCTACGTACGGAGAGATCATGTATCATGTATATGTATGTATGAATCATAGGGATGCCATCCATATGGTAATTTGTAAAAAAATATATTTTAGCCTGCTGGGATTTTTATAGAGTAGATAAAAATTAACGGGCTGGCAAAATGTTTTACGTACATAACACTTATATTAAAACAAAAACTGTATCGGTTATTTGTCTCAGCTTTATGAATTACATAATGTGTTTAGTATGATATATCTTCGGAATGTTAGGTGTAGTGGAATATATTTGTAGTAAAGCTGGCTTTTGTTCTTGAAATGAGGGACCTCGTTCATATTGTCATGCGGCTTCATTGGCAACAAATAATGCAAATGACAAAGCAATGCTGCATTTCCAAAAAAGCAAATACTGTAAATTGTTATGTAAATAGTGGCGTTTACATGCATTGTTGTTAATCAACGTATCTTAGAAAGGATGAGTATATCGATCTAGTTCAAAAGGAACACGACCTTTCTGTCATGACAGTAATTGCTTAACTGGTAATTGAGTGAAAATTTTAAAACGTACGTTTTCAGCAAAAGCACTTTGCAAATTTTTTCCCCTTTTTCCAAAAATTATTAAAATTTTTAAAATTTTTCAAAATTATTTTTTTTATTTCATTAACATTTGAAGTTTCATAAAATGTCCATGGTAACGCAATATCATTGGTAGTTTCTTTTTAAAAGAGCATCTTTAGTGGAAAAACACAAAATCCTGTCACGACCATAACGGACGTTTAAATGAATATTAAAAATAGTTAATATTATTTTTATAACTATGTTTTGCTATAAACTAATTTACTTTTATGACCATTATACAATAAAAAGGTCACTGAGCTTTTGGTATATTTGGTCTTTCTAGAAAAAAATAAAAAAACTCAAAAAATTGAAAAAATCAATAAAATCTTTTTAAGTTTGTATAACTCCGAAAAAACTTACCTGAGACCCGAAAAATCGTTATGTTTGTATATAGAGGTGTGCTTCTTTTGTGTATAAAACATTGAAATATGACGATATTTTAATTTTTGAATTTTTTATGATAGAAATCATAAACGTGATGGTCAGGGACAAGCGGTACGGTCGTGAGTTGTCTGGAATAATCTAAATCTTTCTAAACAATCCTTCAATTATCCTGTTAGTTATAATAAAATTATGTGTTTCAATTCAACTAAACTGTTCAATTTACAATTATATTAAAGTTATTGTCACGACCAAACAAACTATAATCCATAAGGCTAGATTGGTCGTGAAAAAACCTGCAATGGTCGTGAAACTTTGGTCGTGAAATTACGTGTTATTTGGCTCTGTTCTGGCGGTAGCCCTGCACCTCATGTTCGAGGATACAAAGTGGACTTCTAGGTTAATCTACTAATTGAAATTACTTATCAACAAAAATTAACACCATGTCTACTTCATCGAATGACTACGTACGGTCATGGACACACCAAAATTACAAAAAACACAATCTTTTCTTTATTAATCTTGTAATTCCTCCTTTTAACTCGAAACGACCGGCACTACAATCCTGACGTACACCCCGAACTAGTCTCTAAAACCAACTGACTCCATCGACACCAGGCTTGCCACTGTCGTGCTCCAAAGTTGAACATTTTTCCCAAATGGTCGTGACGCCAAATCGAGGGACAGACTTATTTTGTCATGGTAGTCAGTTTGTAATGACAATAAAATTATAATATGCTCCTTCTTTGTAAGTTAAATAACCATTGATGACATAAAAATATGGCTTTATATATTTCGGCATGAATAATTATTCTAAAAACAGCGTGAAAGTTGGAAAATGTACCCTAGGGACACGTCATGGTCGTGAATTTCGAGACTTTAAAAATACGAAAACAATACCTAGAACCTATTTAAAACCAAATAAATGTGTGTAACATGTTGCCCCCGTCCCAAAAAATATTAAAACACATAATAATAAACTACAAATCCAGTATATACGAAGTAAAAGGCCAGGGACATGAAAACGTAAGTTTTTAAATTTTCACTCAATTACTCTTTGTGAAATTTGTTTTACAGGCGAAGTGTAGTGTTCTTTTCACCAATCTCACTTAAGGCCAACCAAGTGGGCCACAGTCCGTAATAGGCCATTGCAAAACATCCTGTCAAGATATAGGTACTATTTTAGGCAAGGTTTCTGTGTTTGGATCTTGCACAATGAACTTCTTCTTCAGATGAATAATCCGTTGGTTAAGAGAAATATTAGCCGAACTAATAAATGTCACAATCCAAGCATTAAAATGGCTCGGGGCACGGCTCATATATGGGCAACGTGCCCTTCTGCACTACTTGTATTATTTATTTGTATTGTATTACACAATTGAAATCTTTTCTACTAATTGAAAACCTGTATGAAAATAATCTCATGAACCTATAATGATCTGTCTTGAATAAAATGACAAAATATCAGCAAAAGTGGTCAAAAAGGCAGACACCAACCTGTACAATAGATATAAGATAATTCGATAAGAAATTATTTTAAAAGTTACTGTAATATTAAGATGTTCCAATGATTTCGTAATGGAACGTTATATTGCAAAACATGAGATGACAAAATTAATTTTAAAATCAGAATGTTATATTATTGCAAATACTTCTTTTTGACAAACTCAGTATCTCCCTATAATATGTCCC